TTCATTGCAAATGTATATCAGGTATGGCCTTTATTCCTGTTTCTAATAGCTTGTTGCTCATTTCTATCTAAGAACTCATCAGAATGCGCTTTCCTATCCATTTTTTTATTAACATTCTGGTTATGACCACTTACGCCATCTCTATGAACATTCAGATTTCCCCTATAGTTCTTTCTTCTTCACCCTCACCAGAATCATCCTTAAAGTTTCATTCATAGAAATCTAGACTTTCCCTAGCCTACTCTTTCAAAGTCTTTCAGTTTCTACCAATTGCCCACTTCAAAAGCCACTTATAGGCATTTGTCGCTACAGCTCTAATTCTTAGTATTAGTTTCTATTTTTGTCCATATTCTTCTGCTACAACAGAATATAGCATGGTCAATAAATAAAAATAATAGAAATTTATATGGCTCACTGTTCTGGAGCAAAAGCTTTTGTGCCATATCACAATTTGGTGGAAGGACAGGTGAGCATACACATGACTGAGAAGGAATCTGCTGGACAGATCCTTTTCTAACAAGAACCCATCCCTGTGATAACTCACTCACTTCAGCAATAATGGCATAAATCCCAATCACCTCTTAAAGGTCCCATCTTTTAATAGTTACAATAGCAGTTGAATTTCAACATGAGTCTTGGAGAGGACATTTAATTCATAGCAAACTATTGCTGTCACAGGAGAGCAGGGAGCTGAAGCTTCAAACCTCCGTTCTTATGACAAAAGAAAATTTAAAATCAGACACTGAAAGTCATGCAAAAGGATTTTGTTATAAGTGAAGGTAAAGTGGAATCAAAGTGAGACTAGGGTAAGGCTCAAGCAGAGAGCACTCTCAGGGGAGAGAGTGGGTCGTCTCCAATTAGAGAATGACAAAGGAAGCAATGCTGCTTCCAGATTGATCGCTGTTTGATGGTTCCCTTGAGAACTGAGGACACCTGCATTCTTTACCAATCAGGTAATCAACTCCTCCTTCACGTTGGGCAGTAGAGTTTTTGACCCTAATTGATCTTTTCTGAAACTACCACGGCAGCCATCCTACTGAGGGGGGCTTCCGTTATAAGTCAATCCTATGTCAATGTGGGTACTGGGTTCAGCAGCTATCAGAGGTTACCTTATTGCATCTGCATCACTGAAGAATTCCCCCCGATTCTGAGATAGAAGAAGACCACGGAGGCCATGACTCCTAGTTTCATCTTGACCTTTATGGGTACTGTCAAGAGTTAGTCTTATAAATCCTTCTTTCTTGAGGTATTGCCTCCCATTATCTGTTTACTCTCTACTCAAAGTTTGTCTATGAATATTTTTCCCCAGATTATCTACTGCAAATTGTTTACTCATCTGTCTTGATAGTAACTTAAAGAAAATTTTAAAAATAACTGAAAGTAAACCTGTAATCTTGCTAGGCACTCCACTGTTTGATGGTTCACTCTTTACCAATCAGGTAATCAACTCCTCCTTCACGTCAATTACTTACTGCTCATTACTTACTGCTAACATTACCAGAGGTAAGGAAGGACATTTTATGATAGTAAAGGGCTCAATGTATTAAGAGAACAGATGGGTAGAATTAAAGAGATAAATAAAAAAAATTAATAATCATAATTGAAGATTATGGACACACTTATTAGTAATTGAAAAATAGGAAAGCAAAAGAACAAACAAAACACTATTAATCAATTTAGTCCCACCAAAATGTATACCACACTCTACCAAACAATAATACAATATACATTAATTTTATAATTGACCTTGTTTTATAAAATCAATGTTTGTAAAGTTCAATAGACAGATTAGTGGTCCCAATGACACATACATCCCAGTTATCCTTGAACCTGTGAATATGTTACCCAGTAAAGAGAAAGTAAAATTGCTGATCTCATAGTGGAGAGATTTTCCTGGATTATAGGCTTGGTCCAACATAATCATGATGGTCTTTGCAAGTTAAAAAGGAAGCCAACCTATTAGGTTTGGAAAAGGACGTGTGACAGTGTAAGGAAGGTCAGATCCACACAGAATGAGGACTCCAACAGTTTCTAGCTTTGAAAATAAGGGGGATATATGAGCATCTCATGAGGCTGACAACAAGGTGTGGCTAGCCTGGGTGCTCACCAGAGACCTCTTCTCATTTGATGGACGCCCTGATGGACTATGGATCTTCCAGTCATTTCTACCACATAATCATCTCTCTAACATGGAAGTTTTTAAAATCAAAAGCAAAAGCACACCCTCCAGGAGGAGCCCAACCTTTCTTTTAAACACTGTTCCATAATACTCTCCCCTTTGATTACCTCCAAGGCAGCCACTTGGCTACCTAACCTCAACAGTGAAACCCATACATATTCACACTTCTGACCCAGACTCAAGAAGAGGAGAGTGTACAGGCATGTGCAGTAAGGGAAGGAAACACAAAGGCTATTTTAGAATTTCATCTAGAATACTAAGCGAGAAAATTATCAAGTTCAAATGCTCCTATATGTTTTAAGTATGTTATATTGGAAATTTTAAGGAATTCCACCAAGGAAATTCCTAGTGGCTTCACTGTTTATCATACCCAACATTTAAGGAAGAATAAAATGCATAAGCTTTTTCAGAAAAAAAAAGGAAGACGAAATATGTCCAGTCGCACTTTATAAAGACAGAAGAGTGTATTTTACAAGAACAAAAGTTAAAGGCTGATATTCCTCAGGAACATAAACACAGAAATCTTCAACAAATTAGTAGCAAAACCAAGTTAATATTATGTGAAAAAGACAACACATTATGAACAAGTAAATGTTACCCAAAAGGAAAGATTGATTTAACATTAAGTCTTCTGATAATATAACTCATCTCCTTAAAAGAATAAGAAAGAAAATGAATATACTCATCCCAATAGATACAAAAAAGGCACTGACAAATTTCAACACTTATTCTTAAGAATTTATAAGAAATAAGAAATAGAAATGAATTTTCTCAAACTAATGAAGGATAGCAAAACAAAATATAGGTAACATCATACATGCATCATACCTAATGGTGAAATGTGGAATTAATTCCACATGAAATTCATCAAAAGGGCAGGAATCAGGTTCTCATCACCTTATTTAACTTTTCACTGAAATTCATAGGCAAAACAGTAAGTTGATAAAAATCAATAAAAAGTACAAATTAATAAAAGCAAAACTGTCATTGTTTGTATGGCATACTTGTTAATAGGAAATAATTAAGGAATGAAGGAAAATTTCTAAGTAAATAGGAAAATTTAACAAGGTATCAAGAAGCAAGGTCAATAAAAATCAATTTTCTACAAAAAAATAAAATAAAATTATAAGAATAAGAAATTTTCTTCAATATGACAAGGGCAATTATTTTAAAGAAACTAGTTAGTATATAATAAACCTAATGAATAAAACACTGAGCACATTTTCATTAAATAAGAGCAAAAATAAGAATAGTATCTTTTGCCTTTTGTTTAAAAATGTTTGGTAATATCCTAGAGATATGATAATTAAATACAACATGTAATTAATATAAGGAGTTAAGGGTCAGAAATATTAGGTGCAAATGATGTGATTACAGCCCTAGAAAACAATAATCAGATATGTCTAAGCAAATAATATCTTGCCACAAAATTAAAAGTGAGAATAAAATCCCAAGTACAAGAACACTAAAGTACATTGTTGAATGATATGTAAAAGAAATATTATGTCCTCACCTAGAGAAAAATGGTAAATGTTGTAAATATATTAATATTTCCAAATTAATGAAAGTTTAGTACTAATAAATTTTTAACTTGAAAACATGCTTTGAAAATAACAAATAAGGGGCTGGTGTTGTGGCTCAGTGGTAGAGCACTCACCTAGCAAGGGTGAGGTACTGGATTCAGTCCTCAGCACCACACAAAGATAAGTAAATAAAGGTATGTGTCCATCTACAACTAAAAAATATTTTTTAAAAAGCTTAAAATGATTATAAAAATAAAACAATGAGTAAAATAAATAATAATAGTTAGAAAAGAGATTTTGCTTTTGTAGATATTAAAATGTTTTATGACTATAATAATAAATAATAATAAATAATGCAAGTAATTATTATATTGGTTAAAATGTTGAATATGACACAATAGATAACCCTGAAAAAGCAATAGTACTAATAAAAATACAACATATTAAAAAGGAACAAGAGAAACCACTGAATAAATTCTGGATATCAGAAAAAACTTTCACATATCAACTTAGAGTAATATTTAGTTTTTACATATTTGATTTGCATACAATATGTTCAAATACATTATTAATTATTTTATATGAATAAGCCTATATCTCCTTCTAGATAAAGTTGAGATTTCACATCTAGTAAATTTTAGAACATCTGGAATGATGGTACTGTTGTGAAAAAAAAATGAGCTTGATTATTTGGAAGAGACACAAAAAATCACATTTTTAAACTGTTTTCAAGAATGAGGTCTTTAAGTCCTCAATATTTGCAAGAAATTGCATATTTTATATGTAATACACTATACTCATAAAGAACTTTATATCTATTACTATATGTAAATTTCTAAGTATTTTTCAATATCACGTTTTTGTTCATTCTGTGTACACGCAATAACAGCATTTGTCCATAATGAAGAATAAAAATATTTGACATTTTGCTGGTCACGGTGGCACATGCCTGTAGTCTCAGCTGCTTGGGAGACTGAGGCAAGAGGATCACGAGTTCAAAACCAGCTTCAGCAAAAGCAAATCACTAAGCAACTCAGTGAGGCCCTGTCTCTAAATAAAATACAAAATAGGGCTGGGGATGTTGCTCAGTGGTTGAGTGCTCCTGAGTTCAATTCCCAGTACCACAAAAAAAAAAAAAAAAACATTTTAAAAATATTGTATTTGAAAGTGATGTTGTCATGTTGTCAGCTTTGCGCAGTGGCAGTACCGTAGCCAATGAGGTTTATCCGAGGCGCGATTATTGCTAATTGAAAGTGATGTTGTCCAAGATGAAATGTGGATATGGAGTCATCTTTTTTCCCCCTATGTTTTAAACCGTAGTACTTAACAGACATAGGGAAAAGAAATTAGGCCTTTAATTATTGGAGTCCAATTAATCTGCATCTGGATTCCGCTGACACCATCAGAGAGCAGGAACTTTGGCCTATTGATACAAGTGTCTTCAAGGTTTATCCTTATCTGTCTTTGTTAAATGATCTTTTCAGAAGCAACCTTGAACATTAATAAGACAACAGGCACTCGAGTTTCAGAGAGAGAGTTCTGGGAGACAGGAAGCTGAAGTAGCCACCTGGAAGTTGCTTGTACAGACTTAAATCTAACAGGATGAGATTTTTGCACATGTGTATGTTACCCAGATTCTCCTGAAGTTCGGGAAATACACATGAAGCAGGAAAATGAGGAGTGGTGCTATTGTATATTGATCAATTAAATGTGACATAAAGGGATATAAGGAGTTTCACCATTATCACCTTAAGTCCTCCAAAAAGGAGTTAATTTTTGTCCATTTCTAAGAGAGCCTCCTTCCACATTGGCCTTGCCCTTTCTTCACTGTTTGTTGATAACCTGTTATGTTTTACTTTTCTCTGAATGTGATACAAAAAAAAAATGCACTTGAGATTTTGAAGGGCTGAATCCTCTAATCCTCATAACCTTTCTGTTAACTAGGGGAGACCAGAAAACACAGGAAGTTCACTTTCACAGAAACCTTTGTTGATACAAATTGGGTGGAAATTCAGGGAGTTACGATGTATCCCTGGTGAAGTCTCAAAACATAGGGTGCCACTGCACAGTGTGGGGTCATCTTGCTGCTTCAATATATACAAGATAAACAACAATGAAAAAGTCAGGTAAATAATTTCTGGGATTGTAAATTTACCAAACTTCAGAGGTCACCATATCCTTATAGTTTACAATTTTATTTAACATTAATAGAAAGAAAATAACCTCAGTCTCTGTTAGGTGTTGGAGGTATTCACAAGACTTGGCAGACACATAGACCCAGAATTCTATCATTCTGAGAGCTGTTTCATACTAGAGGTGACAAGAAAAAGGTGCAGTGGGCAAGCCTTATAAGTAAAAATAAGAATGCAAAGCTAGTGACATTACAATCAAGAGGGGAAAAGTGAGAAAAAAAAATCAATTGCCAATATCAAAGCAATATTCCAATATTGTAAAAGCAGTTGAATTCTAAAGTCTACTACAGCTCTCTTCTAGTTTGGAAGATTATTTCCCACGTATTCAATTTTCTCAACAGCTTCATCTAAGAACATAGCCTTTACATTCAGATTTGCTGAGTTCCATTTCTGAATCCACCTTTCCCAGCTGAAAATTCTAGAGGAAATTATGTCAGTCTTTCTTTGCAGCACTTTGTCACCTCTAAAAGGGGGATATAAGTATACTTACCTCATTGTGATATTACATTAATTAATCTTGCTTAGAGGGAAGCAGTCAATAGAAGATTTCTACTGTTCATTTTATTTCAGTTTGGAGCAGCTAAAGGCAGACAATTCATGGCATTGTTCCATACACTGCCCTCCTGCCTTTGGTCCTCTGTCTTTCTTCTCCTCCTCTGTCTGCCCCTTTTTATAGGTTGGTTTCTTAAGAGGCCTGCACTTGCTTTCCAGGTTCCTTGGGCAAGTCTGGCTTGATCAAGCAGGCGAGGGGCCAGGGGGCTTGCTGAGCCTCTCCAGTGTCCTGGCTTTGCTCATTGAAAGCTCCATCGAGCTGTGGAGAGTGCCAGACATGGATTTCATTAATCCTACCATCAGTAGGTCTGAATTCACCGCAACTAATACAATACCTGTTTCTCTGACGATGCCAACATTTCCTTGACACCGTGTATGACCTCCTGTTATTTCTCAACAAAATCTGGCAAGCACACTCTGGCTGGTGAAGTAAAACATCCCAGAAAGCCACAAACTGCTGAGAGCATCCATGCTGAAATGAACAGGACATTCCAAAGAGATCCACAGCAGCTCAGCTCAGAAGAAAAAAAAATGAAAGAAAGAATACAGAATCACTTATAGAAGAGAGCAATCCTCCAGTTCTCTAGATTTTCATATTTATTTTCCCTAAATTGAAAACCAGGGAGGCGTCCACCCTAAAATCCCACACCATTCTTACTCCATTGCCATGTTTCGAGATGTCATTCCCAACTGTCCCCATCAGGCTTCACCCTACAAAAAGAATCACAGATGTCCTCTTGATGAGATGAGCCTCTAAAATCTTTAAAGTTTCTGGCAACAACACCAAAAGAGAAAGCAACATGCCCTATGTACAAGGAGATTTAGTAAGGGCTCAATTTGAGGATAAAATCAGTCAGAAAATGGCTCTGTGAACTAAGAAATATACAAAGAAAACTAGGGTTTGTTTAATTTCAAAGGCTTTAACTTTTCTCTCATGGTTTTGGTGAAAAAATAATCTATATTAAACTAGTTTTCATGTTCTTTATCTTACTCTTCTGTGAGTCTATGGTGAGATTTTTATTTTCTTGGCTAAAATACCAGATTTTTCCTCAAAGCCCTCTCTAGCAAAATGATACTAATAATGTTAATGGAGAGACCACTGAGGCAATTGTCATAGATGGTCCATACAGTCTTTAAAAATATTTTAATTGATACATAATAGTTGCATTGATTTATAGGGTAGAGTGTGATCATTGATACATGTATACAATATGTAATGATCGAGTTAGGGTAATTAGCATTTGTTATCTCCTTTAACATTTATAATTTCATTTTTCTGGGAGCCTTGGAACTCCTTTCTTCTAGGTCTTTATAACATACAATATAACAAATTGGTGTAGACTACAGCCACCCTGCTGTGCTGTGGAACACTAGTACTTCCTCTATCTATATTTTGATATTCACCAACCAACCTTCCTCTATCCTCCCTCCCTTTTCCTTTATGGTACCCATTGACCACTATTCTACTCTCTGCTTCTACCAAACTAACTTTTTAAGCTTCTACTATGACTGAGAACATGTGGTATTTGACTTCTTGTGCCTAGCTTCATTTTTCCATATTTAAGACATAGCTGTTGAATGGTGTTATATTCTAATTGCTGTTACAGGGCATATTGGAAAAGAATAATGTGGAGGACTTTCCTGCCCTCAAAGAACTCATACTGCAATGACATGATAAGACTAAGTAAATTGATAATTATACACTGTAGGATTACTGTAAAGCAAATGTTCATGGTTCCACGGGAGAGGAAAAGAGAAGAGTCTATTTTAATTTGAGAGGCATAAAAAATGGTTATCGTGAGGCATAAGAAAAGGTTTCTATGAGACAAAGGCTATGTTCAGTGGCAATCTGAAGAAAAACATGAGAATCTGGCACTGCTGTGTAGACCGTTAATGCACTTGTAACAAAGGAAAGTGTCCAAGTGTTTTCAAATCAAGCCAGCCAAAAAAAGAAAGTAGCTCAATTTGTTTAAGATTTAGTCATCTCAATGATCAGAGGCACTCATTGCTGGTTATTGTACCACCAAAGAAAAACTGCTACCTCGTCTCAAATCTCCATGGGGCAAGCTTTCATTCTGACATCTGATCACGCCTGGTATTCTTCCTCCATTCTACATGAAGTGGATACTAACAAACACCCAAATGACAGTGAGCCTAGTGAGAAAGGCTTGAATAGAGCTAGCAAAATTAAATTAACACGTAGGAACTGACACAAGTGAGCCAAGCTGGGAAAGGCTTTATCTGTTAATGGACACTGGGGTTTGGAAAAGAAGTTTTTTTGCAAATGAAGCCAAGAACCTGGGTGTTCATATTTCCTTTACTGGTGATGCAGTTGGTGAAGGTCAACCTGAGTACCTACTCCTTGTTCCTTGTGTGTATACACACCACTCACAGAGGTCTGTGAGGACACTAAGCAAGGAGAACATAATGCCTTGAATGATATGTTAAAATGTGACATTCCCAGTTATATATCCTCACTGAGTTTTAATGACCTGATCTGTGTAAGAATACTGAAAGTCCTAAGGGACTCCTAAAGATATTAAAAATTATATGCAGCCACATCTGGAATATTATCTATGACTTCATTTTCAGAGTTTTCTCTAATTAGAACTTCTAACATTTTAATTGTTTTTATACATTATTTACATGCAACCTCTCAATTAATTCTTGCAAGCAGAGCTTATGATAGAGGTTTTATTAACCCCACTTACAGATGTGGAAATGAAGATGGTTTACTTGCTCAAGGTTATCTAATGGAGAAAAACACACAAACATAATTCAAACATTTATCTTTTAATTCCAAGTTTTATGAAGATACTAATACATTCTTCATCCTCTGAATATTCACTGTATTGTATTTGTTTGAAAGTGCTTCCTAATTGGCAATGTGTTGTAAACATGAGATACTACATAATTACTAAAGGTGTCATTGTTTATTTATTTGTTCTTTCTTTAGCAAAACTTTTCTGAACATCTGTTTTGTGTTCCTCACTGTTCTAAGTACTAGAGGAATATTAGGAACTACTTTGCTAACTAGATCTAAAAATATATATAGACAGAATATATTTCTTTTTTATATATTGCTATATGTAAAAAAAAATAGTCATTTCCAAGACAATCATTCTTGAGCAATCACTTTGATAGTTTTCTGCATCATGGCAGGACATCAGTAATTTCAGATGTTGGATTTTAGCCACTGGAATGGCTTTGTTATTGGCCTTAGAAGTATTTCACCGTTACGTTTGATTGCACCCATTTGAATAAAAGTAGATCACTATACACTGGTGTGCAGTGACCTAGTTAAATATACATGTAAATGACAGCTTTTTCAATGGAGTAGTTTTAAGATAAGCAGTAAATATTTAGATTCCTTTAAAGTATTGTTTCAAAAATGGCAGCACTGATTCACAAAAATTGGAAGACCAAGTTAGAGGCTTTCCTTTATTACTCTGCATGGCAAATAATTGTAATTTCACCTTCTAATTCATTTGAAATGCTACAGGATTTATAGAAGACCTCCAAGAGACTATGAATATACTATAAAATACAATATAATCATTTTTTGTATCAAAAGTTAGGCTTCT